CTTGAGCAAGCATTCCCTCAAAGTGGAATCAGGGGCAGGCTTGGAGTCCCCAGGAGATGATAGACAGGAACTGATAGAGAACTCAGAAGAAAGGACAAGGGAAAACATCTCCTACTCCCTGACCCCCACACATGTACTTGCACGCTCACATATATACATACAGAAACATGTATACAAATGCACAGCTTCCAAATCCTGCTCTTCTATCTCTATTATAAAGAGACTCTTCCAGCCCAGTGTGCTCACGGGCTTAGGCCTGCAGCATGGCCTCTGTTGGGTCCTTCAGGGAGGCCTGGAGATCAGGTGGGCTGGCTTCATGATCAAAGCCAAGAGCCCCTTAGACAAGGCCTCCTTCCCCCTCTTTCCTCAGGTATGAAGAAGAAGTTGCACTTCGGGCCACAGCAGAGAATGAGTTTGTGGCTCTAAAGAAGGTGAGTGATTGAAGCCAGCTCCCATCCAGTCCCACACACCCTGTCCCCTCTGGCCTGGCACCCAAAAGTCAGATGCCCTGGGCCCAGGGGAGAGCTGGTATGACAGCCATCTGCTGCTCCAACAGGACGTGGACTGTGCCTACCTGCGCAAGTCAGACCTGGAGGCCAACGCAGAGGCGCTGACCCAGGAGATTGACTTCCTTCGACGGCTGTACGAAGAGGTGAGGGCAGTGATCACGACAGGCATACATATGGCTTTGATGGGGTTCCCAAACCCACCTGGAACCTCACAGGCAGAAACCTGTTCTCTTCCTGAGCCCAGGCTGGAGACTGGAACATTTGCAGTAGGGGGACTATAAGAGCCATATAGACTGACCCAGCAGGAGCAAGAGGTAGAGATCTGGGACAGCCTGTAGACCTGGAAGCCACTGAGTTCTTCCTGAGCCAGTAGCACAGCCAGCCTCACCAGTCGCCCTAGCCCAAAGCTTCTCTGCTGCCAATAACTATCCTCGGTGCAGTTGGTCCAGGAGAATGTCAATAGGCTCCAGTGCAGTCTGTCCCTGAAGAAGCATCCAGAAGCAGCCTAGGTTCACTGGGCCTAAGTAACTCCAGAAGTAAGAATTTGGAAATGATTGTGGCTGCCTCTAAGAGAAGCTTCTTATCTCAGCAGAAAGCTGTCTTTTCCCTTGGGGAAGGGGAAATGTCTGTTATAAATGTGCCAGACTGGCTCTAAGAACCACAGGGATTCCAGGGGAGAGCAGGTGAGGAAGAGCCCAGATAACCAGGCTGTCTTCCTTCCTCCTGCAGGAGATCCGCGTCCTCAACGCCCATATCTCGGACACCTC